ATGCTGATACATTTATATTTGAAAGTTCTGAGTTGTGACCACTAAATATCCAACAGGTGTGTACTTGAACATACAAGTATTTCCAGATTGCCTATTGGACTTTCCCTGAAGTTTCAGTTGGATAATGAATAGAGAAGCAACTAAGCATGCATTGATAAACAGTTACCAGATATCCATTTTAAATGTGGCTATATTTCAGTGGTTCATATTTTTATCACGTGTATGTACAATTTGTATGAAAGGATTATCATTCTGTTTTTATAAACTTAATTTATGAAGAATGTGCCTTCTAGATCTAAATTAAGTAATACACAAGAAATAGGGAAGCTTTATCTGGAATTAAGTAAATAGGATTTTAATTCCTGGCTTTTGTTCCTAGGTGGACAGTGGCTATCATACACAGACATGTGGAAGCAGTATTATGGATACAGTTGGAGCTGAGAACAGTTGCAGAGACAATAATGTACATTCTTATGAGGCTCAGAACAAATCTCAGCTTTTCAAAACTAAGGTAGGAAATGTATGGAATTATATATTTGTCTGTTTCCTTCTAGCCATCCTTTATACCACTCCCTGCTAGTTCATGGATTTGACAGATTGTTTCCAGGAATTTATAGAAAGCAAATTTACTTGACCTTTCTGTCAAGTATTATTAGATTAAAAACTTGATGCATAAAATAAAGGAAAAGATACTGAAAATCCTCATTTTAAAATTCACGTTCTGATGTTGGCAAAGCCTTTTCCTAGGAAAATTCTACACCAAAACATCAAATAGTCCACACAAAATATTTTAAATTTCAGCAAAATTCTGCGTATTAAACTTTGGGAAGCACGTTCCACATCTCAACCCAAGTTTTAAGAATCTAAAGTGCATCCAAAATGTGAGAGGGACGAGTGCTGTAGCTATCTTTAGAAATCTCAAATTGGGACCCTCTTTTTGTTTTGTCAAGCCTGCTGTGCAGGTATACCTAAAATGAACAATATGAGCTGTGTGCTCATCCAAGACTGCTATACCATGAAATATACTGGAGAATGCAGGTAAAACAGTGGAGGAGACATACATTTTTTACTGAATTTATTAGGGAGAATTGTAATTAACACATTATTTATTTAACGCGCATCATCATCATAGAATCATGTAAATAAGAAGTGGGCAGCATTATCACCCATAAGTGTAAACAGTCTTGCTTGTTGGAGTGATTGTCTGAACAAGTAGAACTGAGTGAACTTTTTTAATGGGCAAGTAAAAAAAAAATCCTGAGCTGTAATCTAACCCTATTGTGCTCCTTTGGCACAGGAAGAAAGTGAGAGAGCACATGGATATTCCTAGTTGAGGATTAACTTACAGTCCTGCATAGGACTCCTTTACATTACTCTGGCAACATAAAGGAGCCTTAAAACTTTTACATGTTTTATCCTCCTGGGGTATGTTTAAACTACATCCCTTTTCTCGAAAAAGGGATGTAAATTAGACACTTTGAAATTGCAAATGAAGCCGGGATTTAAATTTCCCATGGTTCATTTGCACTATGGTGGCTGCGGCTTTTTTCGAAAAGGGGCTTTTCGAAAGAAAATCGCTGTTTAGATGGGATCAATCAAAAATAAAACCCTTTTTCGAAAGATCCTGTACTCCTGTGAAAGTTTGCATGAAAGATGTTATACAAAATGCTGCTATAGTCCTACTGTCTCGGGGGGAAAAAATCGAGACTTGATGATTCAGGAAAACAAACAGTGGCTGTTGCTGTATAGATTCAAACCATAATTAGAAAATGTGAAGAGGCTCAATGAGAGAATATTTCTCAATATTTTTTCTATCAAAGCTTCCAGAATAATTTTTCAACATTGGAAATACATTTTCTGTGGAATATCTATTAAGCTTGCAGTTGTTAGTTTTCATTGTTAGTGGTGCAAACTGGCAAGGACAACATGTCAGATTTGACTAGCCAAGTTTACAAGAACCGTTGGACTTTATGTATTGTTCTTTCTGTGTTTTAAGATATTGAAACTTGATACTGGACCTTTATGGTTAATCTAATCTTAGAAGTTGTATAATGCATGTTTATCCCATTATCAAATTCTTCCAGTTAAAGTTTTTTTTTTTTCTTTTCCTTTTACAGTAAGGATAAACAGTCCCAAGATACTGGATGCAGAATCTGCCTGTTCCTTGCAATCACCTGCAGAAATGCTTCTCTTAAAGTATTTAGATCAAGACTGACAAGCAGCCTTTGGTACCTGTTACTTTTGCAAATGGAATCAGTCGCATTATAGTTTGGAGGGAACTGTGTCAATTACATTTTGAACACTTTTGAAGATAAAATGTGAGAAGGCACTTGAAAACAAGGCATCTGAATTGATACTTGAAATTCAAAACCGCTTATGAAATGTTATTGTATCACAAACATCTGTATATTTGTTCTCTTTTTACCTCAACTATGACCACTCTGGAAAAAGTGTACATTGAAAATTACGGGGAGATTTTGGTATCACTAATAAAATATTATTCGTTCTGTTTCTTCAAACTTAAATATTGTAAAACTAATCTGTGAGTTAAAATGTGTGATCGGCAAATTAACATACTTTTCAGAGGTGCTTTTTTGTTTTTGTATTTTACATTTTTAAACTTTGTCTTGTCCATTTAGGGCAGTGTTCCCCAACCTTTAGAGGCTCCCGGACGCCCGGGAGGTAGGGGCCACTCACGTGCTGGGCTCCCGGGAGGTAGGGGCCACTCACGCGCTGGGCGCCCGGGGGACTGGGATGCCCTTGCACCCGGCGCTGGCGTGTGCCCTAGGGGCGGGGCTGGGGCTGCCTGAGCGCGGCGCACCCAGCGCTGCTGTGTGTCGCGCGCCTGGGGCCGGCACCAGCGCCGCTCGAGCATCGCGCGCCCGAGCGCCCGCATGTGCCCCGGGGCTGGGGCTGCCTGAGCGCGGCGCACCCAGCGCTGCTGTGTGTCGCGCGCCTGGGGCCGGCGCCTCCCGTGGGCCGGGGCTGGCCCAGGTTGTCGGTGGGCGCACACTCGGCGGGCGCCATGGCGCCCGCGGGCACCGCGTTGGGGACCACTGATTTAGGGTCTTGGCATAAATAAAGGTCAGTATCTGCCTTAGTGTCTATGCCAAGAAGGACAAGCCACATTTCACTATTTAACTGTGATTTATAAACCCTTGAAATAAGAGTCATAACTGTCAACTTCAACAAAGTTTAACACATTGTATATTGTGTTTTAGGTCCACTTTGAGTAATACAGGGATTGATGCATTAATGTTCTGGACTGGTCTGATCTCACAAGCCACTAGGGCTCTATAAAAATTATTTTATACCAATAGAAACTGAACATGCTGCTTTCTAACACTGTGCAAAACAGTCTGTTTTCTGGCATGTCATGAGATCAAAAATTGTAAAAAATTATTTGCCATCCTGCTTCCCCTTTTCTGCTTTTGCTTCTGTTGGCATGATTTTAGTAGTCACTTTCTCACAGATTATTTAATGCTGGATGCCATTTGAAAGCAGGGACTTCCAGAGGGTACAAAGAATGTTTGCAATTTTATTTTTGTTATGGTTACCAACCTACAATGGATGCTAATGTAAAGCCAATGTAAAGTGGCAATAGAAATGAAAGAATATGGTAATCAGAATTTTATGAGAATGAAAGGTTGGATTTTGTGTTCTGATTGATCTAGAAGCACAGTGGACCAGTACAGTTATTTTGGAGACAATTTTTTTTCCAAAGCATTTGCCCTGTCCTTGTAATCAAAATGATCCCTGTAATATCAGTGGAACTTCTGGACTCTCCTGTCTGGTAGAAATGTGAGATTAACTGTGGTTTATCATTTTAAAATTAAACTTAGTTGGATTCTTCAGAGCTGCAAGTTCAATTATCAGTTTTCAAATTTGTCACAAAGTAATCACATTGTTTAATTGCTGTCTGTAAAATAAGCTTTTTTTAGAGCAAAGCAAAAAGTGAAAAGCACAATTGGATAAATGTGAAAATAGTGAATTGTATTCAAGTTTTTGTGTGTATTGTCTAACATCTTCTCTTTTTTCAAATAGATTATGCCAAGAAGCAACCAACTATTTATTTTGACTTTAAAATAAATATTTTTAATTATTTAGAAAACCTACTGTACTAATGAACTTCAGTGCCCTTTTGATCATCATATTTATCAAGTTTTACTTAATTCATCAGTTCGCATTTATTGCACAAAATGGTAATTGTTTACATTTAAAGAATACAATTTAAATTGTTTTAACAAGGGTTTTATATTGCAAATTATTGTATATTTAAGTGATTTAACAAAATAAAGACCGATTGATTGTTTCTCCCTCACACCGTAGATTATTTCAGATAGTTTTGTTTTTAGTATCATGCTAGACTAAGGACATTAAGATGTTTCTTTTCTTTCAAGTGTGGCAGGAACCCAAGTAGACTAAAGCTGAGTTTATTGTGATGTAAATCTGGTGTTGAAGATACTGCTTTTGATTAGGGCTGCCAAGCAATTAAAAAACATTAATCGTGTTTAATCACCCCATTAAACAAGAGAATATTGTTTATTTAAAGATGTGTGGACATTTTCTATATTTTCAAATATATTAATTTGTTACAAGACAATACAAAATGTATAGTATTTTATGTTTTTATTACAAACATTTACATTGTAAAAATCAAGAAATATTTCTTTCAATTCACTTCATACAAATACTATAGTGCAATCTGTCAAAGTTGGAGTTAAATGTAGAATTATGTACAAAAAACTGAATTAAATAAAACTAAAATTCAGAACCTACAAATGCATTAAGTCCTTCAGCCAATTGCTCAGACAAATAAGTTTACTTACATTTTCAGGAGATAGTGCTACTCTTTCTTGCTTACAGTGTCACTAGAAAGTGAGAACAGGCATTCGCATGGCACTACCATAGCCAATGTCACAAGATATTTAAGTGCCAGATGAGCAAAAGATTCAATGTTCCTTTATGCTTCAACCACCATTCCAGAGGACGTGTCCATGCTGATGATGGGCTCTGCTCAAGAATGATCCTCAGTAGTTCAGTCAGATGTATGTTCATTTTCATAATCTGAGTCAGATGCCACACCCACAAGGTTGATTTTCTATTTTGGTGATTTGGGTTCTGTAGCTTCTGTATCAGTGCTGCTATTTTTAAGACATCTGAAAGCAAATCCAATCCTCATCCCTTAGGTTTTGGAAGGTACTTCAGTTAAACCTTGGGTTGAGTGCTGTAGCTGTCTTTAGAAATCTCACAGGGGAACCTTTTTTTTTAGTTTTGTCAAATCTGTAAGGTGAGTGTTCTAAAATCAAACATGTGCTTTGTGCTTACGTGAGACTATCACATGAATTCTATGGGAGAATGCAGGTAAAACTGAGATGGAGGCATACAATTCTCCCCCAACAGTTCAGTCACATTTAATTAATGCATTCCTTGTTTAATGAGCATAATCAGCATGGAAACCTGTCCTCTGAAATGGTAACCAAGGTATGAAGGGGGAAGGGCAAACAATGTTTAATATATCTCAGGTCATGCAAATACCTCGCAATGCTGGCTACAACGGTTCCATGAAAATGCTTGTCACTTTTAGATGACGTACATCAGTGGGCAACATTATCTTTTGTAAATGTAAACAAATGTGTTTTGTTGTCTTGACTAGCTGAACAAGTAGGACTGACTGGACGTGTGGACTCTAAAACAGATGGGCAATAATTTTTGGTTGGGGGGGATCTCTGATGGAGGTAGGGCACATGGGGTAAGGGATGAGTGCAAGAGACTTTGAGGTCAGAGGGAGTTTGGGTGAAGGAGGGGGTTTGTGACCTGGGTCGGAAAGGAAAAGAGTATGGGTGCAAGAGAAGATTCTGGCCTGGGGGAGGAGAATAGAAGGGGGTATGGGATCTGGGAGGGAGTTGTGAGCTGGGAAAGGGGTGCAGAAGATTTGAATGGTGACCTGGGGGAGGGAGTTCGGATGGAGGGGCAGGGATGCCAGAGGCAGGCTTTGGTGGGGAGGTGCTTACCTAAGTGTTTCCTGGCCTGCAGCACCCCCAAGGCAGGTGGGGCTCCCTGCCTGCTGCAGCCCCAGATCACTTAGAGTTGCAGGATGTTCCCTCTATGTGGCTCTCAGCTCTAGGAGGGGGTGAGGCTTGCACTGTTCCTCTCCCCAAGGCCACTCTCTCAGCTCCTATTGGCTGTTTTTCTGGCCAATAGGAGCTGAGGATTGGGGCAGGGCGCTCACAAGAAGTAAGGTGTCCACAAGCCAAATCTTGCCCACCTTGCCCCAAAATTTTACATTGTTTTGGGTCTTTTTAGTGCAGTGACATCAGCCAAAAAAATTTAGATCTGTAAGTTGCATTTTCACAAGTTAGAGATTGTACTACAGTATTTTGTAGATGGTGAACTGAAAAATACTTTATCATTTTTACAGTATAAATATTTGTAATAAAAATATAAAGTGAGCACTTTACACTGTCTTGTGTTGTAAAGGAAATTAATGTATTTGAAAAATGTAGAAACACATCCAAAATAATACATTCTATTAATAGTGCAATTAAAATTGCAATTAATCATGATTATTTTAATTGCATGAGTTAATGTGATTGACAGTCCCAATTTTGATGCTTCAACCTACAGTGAGCAGCATGGGTTATGGTGTTGAAGAGTATAATGTCACTCATAAGTTACCTAGTACAGCAGACTACAAGTTGAGTTAAATGTTTGGCTATGTCTACACTGCAGTTGTTCTTGCACAAAAACTTGAAGAGCATCTACACTGCACGTGCATTCTTGCGCAAATAAATTTATAGTACAGCATCAGAAAATAGGGCTTCTTCCAGAAGTTATTCCTCTTCCCACAAGGAATAAGCCCTCTTGCACAAGAGCTCTTCCAGAAGATGGCAGTGTAGACAGGCAACATGAATTTCTTATGCAAGAAACCCCTATGGCTAAAATGGCCATCAGAGCTTTCTTGCCCAAGAGAGCGTCCACACTGCCATGGATGCTCTTGTGCAAAAGCACATCTCTTCCACGAAAGCATATGGCAGCATGGACACACTCTTGTGGAAGACCTTTTGCACAAAAACTCTTCTGCAAAACAGTTCTTTCACAAGAAGCCTGCAGTGTAAATGTAGCCTTTGTGTTCTCTTTTCAGTACATGTTGTATCTCCCTGGTCCAGCACACTGGGGACCTGACTGGTCTCAGATGAGGGATTTTCCTGGACCGGGGAGGTCATTTTGGGCCCCCTGCTGCTGGTCCACCCCTCTGCTGCAATCCCCCTTTCCTCACCATGCTTCCTAGCCCCTTCCCAGCCCAGCTGAGCTGTGTACCAGCTCCTTGCCCCCCAAGTCCCTCTTGCACCCGGCAGAGCCACATGCCAGCTCCTGGCTTCCCCCAGATAAGCAAAGCTTGTCGACTAGTCTCTTTCCTCCCTCCCCGCTACCTCTATCAGAAAGAGACACAGGGGGAAGGGGAGAGGGAAGAGAGGAGGTGGTACTGGGGGGAGCCAACTTAAAAGCCAGTTCCCTGCATCTCTACAGGGAAGTGCCGCCTGGGGCCTGCTGAGTCCCCCGTGGACCCTAGGCTGCACATGACATTTCAATCTTTGAAATGCATAAAAGCCCCCTGCTGGTGTTTTTGTACATTTCAAAGGCAGAACACCACATGGTACTTCCCCTTTTGAAACATAGCAACAGCTGGGTAGGCTCTTGCTACATTTCAAAGTGGAAGCACCCTTATTGACTAATCAAATAGTTGATGGACATTCTATCAACTATTTGATTAGTTAATTAGTCTATACCCTCAACCTCCTGCAGTGCTGGGACTCTGATCCTGGAACATCTGTGGTTATGCCAGACCAGAGAATCATGGATTTTAGAGGTGCAACTACTGGTGCTAAAAGGTAATAGTTTTATGCAAGGGAAAGAAACTAACTTTTCTTTAAGGCATAGAGAAATAGTCATAGTTTATTATTAACAGGGAGAAAAGTTTGAGAAATGTATGTTAATAGGCCAGAAAAAAGAATGCGATTGCAGTGTGGGCGTAACTGAAATTTTTCAGAAAAACGACTTTTTCTGAAGAGAAGAAAAAAAAAAACCCTCTGTAGTGTAGACATAGCCTCAGCCAACAGGGTCTGCAGGAAGCTTAGTTCCCTACAGCTCAGTTCAAACTAGGGTTGGCTACACTGAATTCATAGAATCATAGGACTGGAAGGGACCTCGAGAGGTCATCGAGTCGAGCCTCCCACCCTCAAGGCAGGACCAAGCTCCGTCTACACCATCCCTGACAGATGTCTATCTAACCTGTTCTTATCTCCAGAGAGGGAGATTCCACCACCTCCCTTGGCAATTTATTCCAATATTTGACCACCCTGACAGTTAGGAATTTTTTCCTAATGTCCAATCTAAACCTCCCCTGCTGCACTTTAAGCCCATTACTCCTTGTCCTGTCCTCAGAAACCAAGAGGAACAAATTTTCTCCTTCCTCCTTGTGACACCCTTTTAGATATTTGAAAACCGCTATCATGTCCCCCCTTAATCTTCTTTTTTCCAAACTAAACAAGCCCAGTTCATGAAGCCTGGCTTCATAGGTCATGTTCTCTAGACCTTTAATCATTCTTGTTGCTCTTCTCTGTACCCTTTCCAATTTCTCCACATCTTTCTTGAAATGTGGCGCCCAGAACTGGACACAGTACTCCAGCTGAGGCCTAACTAGTGCAGAGTAGAGCGGCAGAATGACTTCACGAGTTTTGCTTACAACACACCTGTTGATACAACCTAGAATCATATTTGCTTTTTTTGCAACAGCATCACACTGTTGACTCATATTCAACTTGTGGTCCACTATGACCCCTAGATCCCTTTCTGCCATGCTCCTTCCTAGACAGTCGCTTCCCATCTTGTATGTATGGAACTGATTGTTCCTTCCTAAGTGGAGCACTTTGCATTTCTCTTTATTAAACCTCATCCTGTTTACCTCTGACCATTTCTCTAACTTGCTAAGGTCATTTTGAATTATGTCCCTATCCTCCAAAGAAGTTGCAACCCCACCCAGTTTGGTATCATCTGCAAACTTAATAAGAGTACTCTCTATCCCAATATCTACATCATTGATGAAGATATTGAACAGTACGGGTCCCAAAACAGACCCTTGCGGAACTCCACTTGTTATCCCTTTCCAGCAGGATTTAGCACCGTTAACAACAACTCTCTGACTACGGTTATCCAGCCAATTATGCACCCACCTTATCGTGGCCCTATCTAAGTTATATTTGCCTAGTTTATCAATAAGAATATCATGCGAGACCGTATCAAATGCCTTACTAAAGTCTAGGTATATGACATCCACCGCTTCTCCCTTATCCACAAGGCTCGTTATCTTATCAAAGAAAGCTATCAGATTAGTTTGGCATGACTTGTTCTTCACAAACCCATGCTGGCTATTCCCTATCACTTTATTACCTTCCAAGTGTTTGCATATGATTTCCTTAATTACCTGCTCCATTATCTTCCCTGGGACAGATGTTAAACTGACCGGTCTGTAGTTTCCTGGGTTGTTCTTATTCCCCTTTTTATAGATGGGCACAATATTTGCCCTTTTCCAGTCTTCTGGAATCTCCCCTGTCTTCCATGATTTTTCAAAGATCATAGCTAAAGGCTCAGATACCTCCTCTATCAGCTCCTTGAGTATCCTGGGATGCATTTCATCAGGACCTGGTGACTTGCTGACATCTAACTTTCCTAAGTGATTTTTAACTTGTTCTTTGTGTATCCTATCTTCTAAACTTACCCTCTCTCTGCTTGTATTCACTACGTTAGGCACACCTCCAGACTTCTCGGTGAAGACCGAAACAAAGAAGTCATTGAGTATCTCCGCCATTTCCAAGTTTCCTGTTACTGCTTCTCCCTCCTCACTGAGCAGTGGGCCTACCCTGTCCTTGGTCTTCCTCTTGCTTTTAATGTTTTTATAAAAGGTCTTCTTGTTTCCCTTTATGCCTGTAACTAGTTTGATCTCATTTTGGGCCTTTGCCTTTCTAATCTTGCTCCTGCATTCCCGTGTTGCTTGCCTATATTCATCCTTTGTTATTTGTCCTAGTTTCCATTTTTTATAGGACTACTTTTTTGAGATCATGCAAGATCTCCTTGTTAAACCAAGCTGGTCTTTTGCCATATTTTCTATTTTTCCTACATAGCGGAATTGTTTGCTTTTGGGCCCTTAACAACATCCCTTTGAAATACTTCCAACTCTCCTCAGTTGTTTTTCCCTTCAGTCTTGCTTCCCTATACAAATAACTAAACAAGCATAGAGTTGAAGAGAGCAATGACTTATGGTCCCCTGGTTAGGGTACTGCCTAGCATCTGGGAGACTCAAATCCTTGAGACTAAACCAGGCAGAGCACAGATAGCCTAGGTGAGCTATTAGCTAGAATGGGTGGGTTTTTCACAAGGCTGCTGTGACTTAAATGCTTAACTCCAGGAGAGGATTCACCACTCTGAATCTTGATGAAAAATGGGCACCTTTGAGGGATGAAGCTTAGGCCAACCTCTCTCTGCAAATATTTTCTACTACCTTTTTTAGGCCCAGCCATGCAAAGAATGTTCATGGATGAGAATTTACTCAATAGTTGAAGCATTTCAATTTGAACTGTAATGTGGCATTGGTGTAACCATAATAGTGTAGGGTAGAACTTGTCCTGCAAACTCTTCAGTGCGATCAGAAATAACATTCGGAGGACCAGATGATTAAGAAAACAAATTAAGACTTCAGTACAGTACTTTACTTTATCAAATAGCTACAAGTTTGTCCTTTAATTTCCCATTTCTGGTACAATAATGAACCGCTGGTGGGAATGTTCCTTCATTTTATGTATTTATTTTCACCTATAAGATGAAAACATTGAAATAATTTTTAAAACCTATTACAAACACTTGGGTGCACAAGAGATGAAATAAAAATGCAGTTTTAAAAATATTAAAATGTCTTTTTAAAAAGTGAAATTAAAAGTTTATGAAATTTCAGAATTTACAAACTTTCTCTTCAAACAAACAAAATATGTAACACTTGAATTCTTTATTAGCTGCTTGAATGCAGCTATTTTTTCAGCTTCTTCTTCTTTTTCTTGGGTTCACTGTTAGTGCTCTGCTCTGTAGTCTGATTTGGAACATCAGTTCCTAGTATCTATAACAAAGGGGAAAATATCAGAAAAAGGTTAAAGCAAACATTTAGTTTTTGCTTTCTTGTCAAAAATATAATGAGAGAGAAGTGGTCTTGTAGCACTTTAGAGACTTTAAAAAAATTTTTTATACAGTATCATGAGCTTTCAAGGGCACAACCCACTTCTTCAGATGAGTGGAGCAAGGTCCATGAAAGCTCATGATACTACATAAACATTTGTATTAGTCTCTAAGATGCTACAGGACCACTCGTTTAAGTGAGCAGGTATGTTAACTGCATCTTTTTCACAAAATCAATTTCTTCTCATCTACCAGTGTAATTTCCACTGATGGAAGAGGTGCTTTGTGCAAGTGAAAATTAGAACCCTTTCTTCTTAAATTTCTACATTTTACAAAAATATGGGTCCTGCAGTATGTAGAAGCCACTTTAAAAAACAAAACAAATCACTGTAAAAGCAGGTGCGATTTGTGTTACTGCACTCTCCTAATACAGCAAAATACATTTTTAAGTTAAATATGAAGTTTAATATACAATAATGTTAAGACAATTGCATGATATATTGCTTTGCATTGTAAAATCTGTGCCTTACCTTGGGTTCCACCAGCGCCATACGAATTTTCTGATGTTGGATGTTGGAAGCATCTAACATGATGTTCACTTTAACCTTGTCAAATGTATAAAATGTTCTGTTCTCCACAGTAAGTGAGGGTACCTGAAATGTAGCAGCATTTAACAGGTTTTTTTCCAAACATGGAAACTTTATACCTGAATACTTGAGGCTTACAATTCATCCCCAATGTCTCTTATTATTGACACCAACTACAGATTGAACTTCTCTGATCTAGCAATAGCCGTGGTCCAACAGAATGTTTCTGGACCAATGAGCCCCTAGACCAGACAGCCTGGGGAGCCTAGTGGAAGGCAAGGAGCTGGGAGCCTCATGCTGGCTGCAGAGTACAGGCTCTGGCAGCCCGAGGGCAGGAGGGGAGCCAGATCAGCAGGTAGTGGAGCCAGATAGGGAGTTCAGCGGTGGTTCCCAACCACCAGGCTGCGGTAGCTCTGGAGGCTACTGGACAAGGCTTCTATCGCTGCTCTTGGGAGAGGTGTGTCCTGCCCCACCTCTCAGTCAACTAGCGCCAATCAAGTGTGGGGTCTCTTCCTGGACACACAAGAGCGCTGTGCTGCGCGGCGGGAGGGGCCACGTGGAACCAGGCATCCTTAGAGTAGCCATGCTTAGCTGGCGGCTGGGAGGCAGCACAGGGCTAAATGAGGGGGCAGGGCAGGCACGGCACTGAGGGACTCCGGGGGCAAAGCAGGGCTAGTACTAGTGAGCCCCCCCACACCTCCTTAGAGCTGACACTGGGGGGACTAGGGCATCCGGGATGGGGCACTGGCACTGGAGGGAAAGGGACTAGTAGTGGGAGTATGGGAGCAAGGCTGGCACTGGGGAACTCTGGGGAGGGGGCTAATATTGGGGACTGGGTGATGGCAGTGGGGAGGGCTTTGGGGAGCTTGTTTGCAGAGGGGCTCTAGAGACAGGACACTGGCACTGGGGAGTCTGGTGGTGAGGCTCTAAGGGGTAGGAGGCTGACCCTGAGGCATTTGGGATGGGGGCTAGCACTGGGGGGCTCTGAGGGCAGGAGGCTGGCATGTGGGGAGGGGTTGGGGGCAGGGGACTCTGGGGTCAGTGGCTGGCCCTGGGGACAGTGGAGGGGTGGGGGGCTCTAGGTATTAAGGCTGGCACTGGGGAGCTCTGGAGTCCAGGGCTTTTGGCAGACCGGTAACATTTTATTTGCATGTTCATTATTTGCATAATGAATATGCAATAAAATGTTACTGGTCCACCAAAGTTTGTGGATGAGTTTGCTATCCCCGGTATAACAAAAGGTTGGGAACCACTGTGCTAATGGATTCCAGGAGAGCTCAGAGCCCATCAGCAGAAGGGTCGGAGCAGACTTCCCCTCATCCGGCAAAATCTCTTGTTCAGGACCAGTCAGGTCTTGAGGGTGCCGGACCAGGATAATCCAACCAAAATATATTTTCCAGGAACCATTCACAACTCCTAATGCTTAGATTACAATATTCCAATTAAGAGAGTGCTGACTATCCAAAGTATCAACTATGTTAAAAACATTAGTTCAATATAGTTATATGGTCTACCTGGATTTCATTAAGACTTAATGAATGCAGTTCTCCCTCAGAACCTTCTGCAATTAAAACTTTCACACAAGGACCATAAAGATGAATTGCTGTTGTGGTTATAAACTCATCTAATCTATAATAAGTATATAATATCTTATGCCATTCCCTGCATCTAAATAATAGAATACTGATTTTAGTCATTCTATCCCATTATCAAATGAAAAAGCAAAGAAAGAAAAAAAAATCCCCCTTAAATACTGTACCTCGTCATTATAATTGAGGTTTGGCTTTGGTTTATCTTTTTCTTCAAAGAAGACAGTTCCTTCCAGACCATATTTGGGAATTAGAACCACAATTGCATTCTTTCTAACAAATAAAATATATGCCTCCTCATTCATTACTCCTTTGTTTTTGAAGAACAACTGTAAGATGAATCATGGATATAAAATAAGGTTTAGGGAATGAAAAGATTTGCTAAAAGCTGATAATATAAAGGCTTGTTATATAGACAACTGTCAAGAAATCACAAGTAAAGCATGTTCATACTGACGTAATTAGTGTACTAATCTGGCTATAATTCACAACTTTTTGCTATTTTAGCTGCAGCAGTGAGGTTCAGACAATCTTAGGATCAATGTCAAGGTATTTTAATATCTTTTATTATTTTAAGCTTTTTTTAAAAAACACATTGCAGTAATATATACGGTATTTCTAAAACCAAAGTTGTACCAGGGAATCCTGCAAATACCGTCTCTATTATCAAAGGCCAAATAGATGTTCTTTGGCACAAGCATTTTAATGCTGAAATCTAATCTTTTCCAAAGAGACTATAACTCAAAAGTCCTTATCCAATCCTTACATGCTTCCAACTTGACTTATAGGTTACTGCCCTGCAGAGTACACCAAATATTCCCTACAGAGATGTGGATCTTATTACAAATGTTCACTCTTTTCTACAGTTCAAAATGCACAACCTCATCTCAAATCTACTTACCTGGGTATGGAATGCAACTGAAGCTCTTTGTGCATACTGAGCCATTTTATGTCGGTAGTTGAGATTTTTACACAGATCTGCAAGTTTATGTTTATCTGTAAGTTCTGGGTAAGTACTGTCTGCCCCTATAGCCACAGCCAATAGTCGATGTACTATTATATCAGCATATCTGCAGGGATGAGATAAAAATCAGTGACAGAAGTCTGAGTCAACATACCAGAATGTACTTATTTCTTGGAAGCACACCTGAAGAAGAAGATTTTGCCCACAAAATGATACTATATATATATTTTTGTTAATCTCTGAGGTGCCCCAGGACTACTCATTTCTTGGAAATTTCTGAATCTCATTTTATTTGTGTGCATTCAATTACTCAAGCATTTTTTTTTTTTTAAAAAGCTTATCCCAATCTAACGATTTTATTAAACTGGTTATATGGGTGTGCATGGTAATGGTTAATAAGCAACTATATATAAAAAAAAGACATAACTTTCTGAACAAGAACAGCTCCCGGTGTGATTTCAAGATAATATTGGCTTATTTTAATGACAAAAAAAAAAAAAGGTCTCCTGCAGAGCCAGCATAGTGATGCGAAAGTGAACTGTATTTGTATTACTTTCTATTTTCTACATCAATCAACAGAATTCTTTACTATGTTTCATCTGCTATAGGCTTTTTTTTCCCCGTGTTGTGAAAAACCAGAAACAGTTAGGATTTTCAGATTTAAGTAGGCATTTCTGCACTGACAGTTAAACCATAGGGGTTTTATTTCCCCCTTATCAAAAGGAGTGACTTCAATATAAAATGATTGATTCAGCAATTCTGACAATGCAATTTTTACTGATTTTCAGGGTATAACTGAACTTGATTATGTATGAAACAAGTGCAGGACAATAACTTTTGGTTAACTCAAGAAGATAATCAGTTTGACTATTATCTCTGGAGTGCTAGCAGCTCTACACTTTAGTTAGTTATCCATATGAATGCAATAGGGATTTCAATCATCTATATGCAACACACTTGCCTTAACTATACTTCCAGAGAGTAATGATGAGCATAAGTAGTTTCCATACAACTTAGAACCACCTATATATCAGAGAAAACGTAAAAATAAACTATTTTAAATCATGTAAACTGGAATCTCCTTTTACATGCACACTTGGTTTCAGCATCACATTTTCAGGTAAGCCAATAGCAAGTTACTTTCTTCCCTGTGTAATGTACGGAGGTGATGTCATTTACTAAGTTAATGTTAAATACAGGCTTTTTGTTTTATATGTTTAAATTAATCCCCATAAATATTATTTTACAACAAACTTCTGCAGCAATGCTCCTATGTGATAATGATTAGCTAGATTCTGTTGTAGGTTCTGTCTGGCATGTCTCATCCTAAATAGATTAAAAAAATGAGCATTTATACAACAGAATCATACGTTAAGGATATATTGCTTTCCACTTTACATGCAGAAACAGATCTATTTTATGGAAAGTACAACTGAAAATAGGGTTGCCAGGTATCTGGTTTTGAATCGGACTGTCCAGTATTTGAGTTTTCTGTTTGGGAAACAAATTGAGAAAATATCAATGTTCAGTATTTTCTAAATAAGTTGTAATGTAGATTCTGATGTGTTCGGTATTTTTGTTGAAACCATCTGGCAACCCTCACTGAAAACATTGAGCTGGACATCACAGGAAAGGGTTATAGCAATCTAGGAGCACAGAAGTCAAACCAAAATGACAGGAATGTTGCACAGGTCATATTTTTCAAATAAAAATAACTACCATGACATTAGATTAATTATGAGGCATACTATTTTAAAACTGAAAACAAGATGCAGCATGTAAAGGAAAGTAGTTATAATTATACAGTGCTCTTGCATCCTTCCTTTGAAAGTTTCATAAAGTAAATTACCTTCTAATGGGTGAAGTAAAATGTGTATAAATAGGTGATGCTAAACCATAGTGATGAAAATCAGTATCCATTCCAGAGCAAAAGTAGACAGCTTGCATCATGCAGCGAGTTGTCAAGATTCGCAGCAGTGTATTTAGATATGGGAATTCAGGAGATTCAGCTTTGTCTAAACTGTCAGCTAGAGCCTTTGCTGAATCTGTCTTTATTTCCAAATTCTGTAATAAAAAGGGCAGCATTATATTATTGTCAAATCCTTAAACAAACATTTTCAAAGCTGTATGTAGGAATTTACCTGCACCATATCAGCATTTCCAAGCCAATCAGGTACATACTTCCCATATATTGTATTACAGTGGTTCCCAAATGTATTTGATCATGTCCCCTTTCTTTGTGTCAGTAGTAGCAGCTCACATCCCTCCACAAGTGCCCAGCCAGCAGCCGCTACTCCAGCCACCCAGCTCTCAAGACAGAGCAGAGAGCATGCCACCTCCAGCAGAGGTAGAGAAGAGTGACACAGTATGGTATTACCATCTTAAGGTCTCTGCTGCTGCAGGTGGTAGTGCTACTTTCGGAGTGGGATGCCCAACCAGCAGCTGCCACCCAGCTCTGAATCTGCATAGTAAGATTTTTTTTCTAAAGCTTCTCTCACACACCCAGAACCAGGGATGTCAACATGTACTTGACTATACAATTAATCGATAAGTCTAGGCATATCCATTAATCTTGTGGACTACATGCATTCCCTCCTCCCTTGTTGCCTCTATGTCAGAGGCAACAAGGCGGGGGCGGGGGCCCAGAAAAGGAGCCTGTGCTGGGGGGACTTGGCTTAGAAGCTGGCTCCCGCCAGCACTGGCTCCGCAGAGCTGCCTCCCCTCCCCATGCTGCTGCCCCTCCCAGAGGCTGCTGGGGGAGAGGGGTAAGGGCAGGGAAGGCTGCAGTGAAGCAGCATCTGTCTGTGGGGGGGTCCGAGCTCCCCACAGACAGAGGCTGCTCTACCTCCCATGGAAGCCTCTGTGGTGAGCCTGGTCCCACCGCAGACAGAGGCTGGTCCCGTCAGCAGCCTCTGTCCCAAGGGGGTTCTGCCCAGGCTCACAGCAGACAAGGGCTGCTCAATACAGAGGCAGCAGTGCAGGGAGACTGGAAGCTCTCCAGGAGTGGGGCAGGAGTGTACTGGCTGGCAGCCCTGATCCCCAGACAGTACAGAATAATTGTGTAACTGATAAATATTCATGTGATTACACAGCTATTCAATTGCTTGATATCTAACATCCCTACCCAGAACACATTCCACATCTCTATCCCTCCAGTTTGAGAACTTGTCACATCTAATAAATCACCTTACAGGTACTGACAATGTGATACAATATCAGAACCTTAAAGAAGAATACAGCTCTGCATGTGGACTTTGATGGGCCAGCAGCAAAATCCATGTTCTAAAAATGCAACAAAATATCAGATCTTACTAGTTAGGGAGCAAAGGGGGCGTGGAGGAAAGGACTTTGTTAAAATTAGTAATTTTTATTATTTCTTTGGGCTGCTCTTCTATTTTTCACATCTTAATTCAGCAATGGATTGAAGGTAAGATGCAGAAAGGAGATAGAAAAGTCTGCTCAGTTTTAAAGTTAACTTTTCTTCAAGTTACAACACATGGCTAGATCAGAGATGGGGATAGGGATGTGAATGACTAGTCGACTATCTGATAAGCAAATGCCTATCAGAGAGTCGACACACTAGTTGCCTCCCGCCTTCCCAACCTTGTTGCCTCTATCAGAAAGAGGCAGCAAGGGGAAGGGAAAAGGGAGAGGGTGCTTTAAAGCAGCAGCATCATGTGGAGCCTGGGGACAGACCCGAGCTCAATGTAGCATTGCCACTTTGATATGCTGTGTGCAGCCCAGTCTGCCATTTTGAAACACCATATGCTGCCTGGGGCAAGCTGGGGACTGGACTCCCAGCTGGCCCCAGGCTGCTTGTGGCATTTCAAACTGGCAGCACAGGCCCCATGCTCCCTGCGTTTTCACCTTTGAAGTGCAGCAACAGCCATGGATCTGTTGTTGCACTTCAAAGGCGGAGGCGCCCTTATCGAGTAATCGAATAGTCAATGCAAACTGCATCGACTGTTCAATTAGCCAGTTAATCTAAAATTTAATATCCCTAGACGGGAACCTTTAGTGCACCACCAGACAGTTTACCTGAATGTCTGCAGGATGGGCACCCCGCAGCTCTCACTGGCACAGTTCTCCATTCCTGGCCAATGGATGCTGAAGGAAGCGGTATGGGCTGGGTTACCACTTCCCACAACTCCCATTGGCTGAGAATAGTAAAACGTGGTCACTGAGAGCTGTGAGTGGCTGTGCCTGTGAAGACTCAAGTAAACAAACCATCTGGTGGCCCACCAGCAGCTAAACATGATAAACTGTGTGTAACACATGGCCCAGAGGCTCTCCATCCATGCACTAGAACCGTGGTCCCCAACGCGGTGCCTGCAGGTGCCATGGTCCTTGCCAGGGCATTTGTATGTGCCTGCCAGCTCATCCTAATGCAGAGGCGGACTGGCCCAGCGGGACTGAGCCACCGGGCTCCACACTCCTGCACCAGAGCAGGTAGGGGCGCTGCTAACACTTACAGCCCTGCCAGAAGACCCTACTGGGCCGAGGGACTCTGGCGAGGAGACAGGCAAGCAGATGCCGGTTTACACTTGTAAGAGAGGAAGATAGCTAAATTAGGAGTGTCGGATATTCTTTACTGCGGACGGCTGTGTGTTCGTATCAATATGGGTTTCACTCAAGGGCACTCCTCAGCAGCCTCTTGGTCAGCAATTGGCATATCTCTGTTTACAGCCATTCACGGTCACAGCAGCTTCGGCCTTCTGTTCAAGGCTTTTACTGTTCTGTGTGCCCTGCATGCTCCAGGCAAGCAAAAATGAATGTTACAAAGGGCATCCCAGTCCTCTGGCGTGCCCCCGGACGAGCGGCCCTGCTCCCGGGTGCCCGGCACGTGAGTGGCCCCCACCTCCCAGGCGCCCGGCGCATGAGTGGCCCCACCTCCCGGGCGCCCGGGAGCCTCTGAAGGTTGGGGACCACTGCACTAGAATAATAATGGAAAAGGAAACAAATCTAAAAGAAATTGTGCATAGTCTCTAAGAATGTAGTACTTTTTTTAAAAAAAGTTCAACTCAAAAAGGGGAACATACATGTACCCTTAGACAGAAAAAAATTGAACTTCAACTTCCCTTTAATGAAAGGCAAAATAAATTCTTAATTCAGACCCGCTGTTAATTCCAATCTAAAACTCACCCCTTTGATCTAAGCAAGATACAAGAATGTGCAATTTTAATGTTATTCGTCTTGGTGTTCACTTTTTCCTTAGTTTATTTTAAACCTTCCATGACACATAAAAGACTTACGGTTGTATAATTTTCTTCATTTAAAAAGAAGTACAGGCAGTCCCCGACTTACGTGGATCCGACTTACGTCGGATCCCTAGATACGAACGGGGTGAGGCAACTCCCGCACATGCGCAGCAGCATTCCCGGGGCTCGCTCACCTGGGTCCTAGGATCCTCCTCCTCCTCGGGCCGGCTCCGACTGGGGTCCCGCAGAGCTGCCGGGCAGAGGAAAAGTGCCTCCCCACGCCCGCTGCCCCCCCCTGCCCCCTCCCCTGAGCAACAGGCTGCTGAACAGACAAAAGCAGCCTCTCTGCCCCTCCTCCCCTCTATACATGCCGGGCTCCCGGAGCGCAGCAGCGTCCCCGGGGCTCGCTCACCTGGGTCCTAGAATCCACCTCCTCCTCCTCTTCGGCCGGCTCCAACTGGCCTCTGCCTGCAGCAGCTGGCCACAGGGACAGGGATCCTGCAGAGCTGCCGGGCAGAGGAAAAGTGCCTCCCCACGCCCGCTGCCCCCTCCCCTGAGCAACAGGCTGCCAAACAGCAGACAAAAGCAGCCTCTCCGCCCCTCCTCCCCCTATACATGCTGGGATCCCTGGGCAAACAAAGACTCCACCAAAACAAACAAAGTGCTGGCCTCATTGTGTTAGCAAAAAAAGGACCCTCCTCCTAGAACCCTGGGTGGTGTGTGGAAATAAAGCTATTAGCTCAAAGCATGGTGCAGAGCTGTTTGGTATTTGATGAGTTACTCCTTTAGTCCTGAGTTTGTCACAGGGACAGAAATAGATGTGAAATCTTCTGAACAGGGGAACAGACAGCAAAACAAACATTAGAGGGGAGTTAACCTTTCCCTATGCTATCCAAAACTAAAAAAAATGTTTGGCTAGAGTTTCCCCTACAATATGTACCAGTTCTGACTTACATACAAATTCAACTTAAGAACAAACCTACAGTCCCTATCTTGTACGTAACCCGGGGACTGCCTGTATTTGATAAATGGGGTCGGTGGTGTTTCTTGACACATAGAATAAAGGCTGCAGGGCTAAGTTGGCCTTTACAAACAAAAGCAGAACACAATACACAAAATAATGAGCAGAAATGTACCTCTGGAATTTAAGAGGCCCATTAGAGAGAAAGAGAGAGAAAGGTCTGCATAGCAGACCAGCAAAGAACAGCCCTTTATTTGGAATTACTTTATTTTAATCTTAAATATTAAAGCTTGCCTTGGATTTTGCTGCTTTCACGAGGATGTCATAATTTGATGGAGGAGGAGCTGGGTGTTTCCGGAGCAAGGCATATTCTGAGAATTCCTCGTGGATTTTTTTGGCTACTGAGATATTGGCAAGCAACATAAACTCTTCAACCATGGAATTAGTTTCTCTGCCAATGTGAAACATTTTGCACTGTTAGAGTATTCCATTTTTTGATTTGCTTAAACTCTTAATAAGGAAGTCTTTTTACCACCCCGACAAGAGTCTAAGCTAGCCATTTAGAACATTTATACAAAGATAAAGTACATATTTTAAAATATTTAAAGACAATTCTATATATTAACATGGGTCCAAAAAGGATGTAGAGAAAGAAGCAAAGGTTATACCAAATGAATCTTACCATTTAATAGAGGACAAAGGAATGACAGGGGAAGAAAAATCGCACTAAAAAGTTTGTAAGTCAGATCAGCAAGACACTGGTTTATTCAGCACTTATTCAGAAGAGAAAGTGCTAGATTTTTACATTGTCTTAAATAGGCTAGTGTTATTACTCTAATATTAAAGCCAACTATAATTACAAGAGCTCCATTGTTCATATGTGCACATATGCAAAATAAAATTGAGAGGATCTACTGGAGTTAAAAAAAAAGATGACGACGACCCAAACATTGAGCTGGGCTTAAAGAAAACAAAGGAGCTGGTTACACAGACTGAGCTTAGTTTTCCTCTTCCTGAAAGTGCCTCAGTAGCACTATGTCCTACATTAACACACAATCTCTTGGGTTCATTGTGCATGTATATACATGCTCTGTGTCTGCTCAGATTTCTGTCTCGGGGGCACCCTACCCCATGGTCTGTCTTCTTCTGGCTCCCAAACACTGGGTCCAGCATTTCCCACAGGCAGGTTTTTTCCTCATCACTGGGAGGGAGCTGGTAGGGAACCCTTGGTCTCATCTCAATGTATTCCAGGACTGTGGAGAAGGGACTCTCCATTCACTTCCTGTATGTATGGCAAGCAGGATGGAAGCTGGACTTTACCCTCTCATTACCCTGCTGTAAGAATTGAGAGGGAGTGCTAAGCCTGCCATTCACAATAACGTTAGACACTCAAGATTTGAAAACTTTGGTCTAAGCTCATACCAAATAAGTTATTATTAGGGACTCTCCCTGATTTACATACTTCAAAGACTTTAGAAAATTTATAGAAATCATACCTCCATCTAGAATTTACTGACCAAACTATTAAGTGGACTCTCAAAATACACAATTCAATAAACAAAACTCCTCCTCCCACCAAAAACCCATAATGCATACTTAAGCTCTTTGGTCTGCAAATCAATAGGATCGTGAGTTTCACTGTCTATATGGAAACGAACTTCAGGTGAGGAAAGTGTTAACGCTCTGTAAGATAACAAACAGAACAAAACAGTCAAGTATTAGAAGGCCCAATTTAAGTAGTCTGAACTACATCGCCTGAATGTGATATAGGTCAAGCAAGTGCAACTCATGTATATAATCTAGAGTATGGGTTCCCAAACTGGAGGGCGCGAGGCGACCCAGACACACCCCCCGCCCCCAGTCAATCCCACCCCAAGTTTTGTTGCTATTTTTTTGGGAGGAGGGCTTGAGGGTTTCTCAATAATCAAAAAGGGGGCGTGATACCGAAAAGTTTGGGAACCATTGATCTAGAGTTATGGGTGCTTGGCATCTCTCAGGATCAACCTCTGAATTCCTAAACCAAAATATTCAAGGAGACATACTCACATTAGGGCAGGCATGTCCAAAGTCCGGCCCGCGGGCCAATTGCGGCCCGTGTTCCGGTTTAATACGGCCCCACAGGTAATTTGGCAATATCTATCTTTTATGGCCCCCAATGAATCCATATGTATTGAGATGAATACATTGTAAAATCTCAGTTAAAGTCAGTTGGTCTAAATCAGTTATAAATATATTTGGACACAACATGTATACTTGGTGTTATGTTCCTGTTCATATTTTTTGAACTTAAAAGTTGACAGACAACCTTTATTACCAATAATATGTAATGTACTTTACAATGTTCCTGACATATATTTCAGCTTCCTGGATTTTTTTTTTCATCTGGCCTTCAGATATGAAAGGCAGAGTGATTTAACACCTGTTTAGATTTGTCATCCATGTGACGAAATGAAAAGTATGCCGTTTGCAATAAACTTTGCATAAAATAGTTAATTTGCATTTAATTTTAATGGTTCAAAGAATGTCAGGCAAAATGGTCGGCCCTCACGCATGTTCACTTCTTCAAATCTGGCCCTCTTTGAAAAAAGTTTGGACACCCCTGCATTAGGGTGTTAAAGACAGGATGTAGTTACAGCAGTGACGGGGATTAGCAGCCCTGAGCATGTGCCTTCCAGAGATGCTAGTACATACTAGGGGCAGCTGCCCCTCCTACTATGGCAATCTAGTACATGTCTCCTCAAATTGGGAATTACACCTTCAGCTTTAAGTAATCACATACCCTGTGTATATCCAAATTTCTACTTTCTTCTGTAGGACTGACGAAAAAAGTTAACATTCCTAAAGATGCATGAAAGCTGGAAATAACCCTCCCCCCTTTTTAATATGTTTCTTGTATATTAAAGTATTTCAAATGATACTTTGCACTTCTGCTAAAGCTCAGGTTGTTTCTGTTTTAGTTAGAACCTCAGTTCTATAGGTAGTTCTCATCTCCCTCCCCCTCCAACTACATATATTTTTTGGAATTCCTGTAACTCAGAAACAGAAATTTAAACAGTAAGTTTTGCAAAGTGGACAGGCTTTAAAATAGGGATGGAGATCTTTTTATGGGTCAGTGACCGGGGGGGGGGATCATTTGAGGGTCGCACACAGTGAGAAAAAAAAATGCGGCCCCTGAGAAGGAGAAAGATGTTCCTCATACTCCTCTCACACACCAGGGCCCAGCAGGGCCCAGACTAGCATATTTTGTTTGCTCTAACTTGGCGGAGTGGGGAGGAGGGCTGGAGCACCAGCACGGTATCTCCAATACTGAAGGGGGGGTAGAAAGAGCCTCGGGGGCTGTATCCAGGCAAGCTGGGGGCTGTATCTAGTCCCTGATCCTGAGGTTCCCCATCCGTTCTTTAATATGTAATTGGCTTGCTATACAAACTTTATTACAAGTACGCTATTGTAAACTTACAAACGAAAGAAAATTAAAAGTTTACATAGTTGCCAAACTTAAATAACTGCCTTATGTATAGTCTATATTAATTTATAAATGGCTAACACTTATCTTTGAAATATTATATTGGCTGGTGCAGACTGACACGGAGTGGCATAGTATTGTTGGACAAATTTAAGACAACTAAACAGATACGATCGTTTGAACTATTTACCCATTATCAATTCTTCTCTTCTTCAGAATTTTTGCTAGTTTATTTAGTCCACGCAAACTAGTAGTAACATCATCTTTCATGCTTGCAGAGTCAATTCTCAGCTGTGCTTCAGCATATGTAAGTGATGCCTTAAAAAACAAATATTTGTATGTGGTATTGTCACATTGTTGAGTACTGAACAACAAACTGTTCTTCCTTTTGTTGAAATACAAGCCATGGATGTAAAATCTCATTTAATTGTTTAACTGGTTAACCAATTAAAGGGAGGGCAGATGGGCTGGGGGGGTGAGAGGCCGCAGACAGAGCAGTCCTTGTCTATGGGGCACCTGGGCCCACTATGGACAGAGACTGCTCTGGCTGGCAGGGCTGCTCCTGCCCCCATTATTTAAACATTCACATCCCTAATATAAATAACCAGTGCATTGTCAAATTATGCTAAAAACCAGCACAAAACAAGGAAATCATAATCCTCTGAGACGACTATTAAACACTGAACTCACCTCACAATCCTCAAGTGTTCTGTGAGACGAACACAATAAAAGTACACATACAGATGTACAAAATTTGATTTTCCCACTGTATTTTTTGCCTCAGTCCTATTTAGCCTACATTTTCAAGATGTGCTGGCCACCTGCAGCTCCCATTGTTTGTAAAAGGAATTATGGGTGCTTTACACATCAGAAAATAAGGCCAATAATATTTATATCTGTATGCTATAATAGTTGAAAAAGTATGAAAAAAAGACAAATGTAACCCCTTGTTTATATGCCTTAACATGTTGATCAAGGCAAAACATTTATGTTGACTTTTTTTAAAAAGTAATTTTGTAGTTATAACATTAAAAAAAAAACCTTTTATATAATGAGTTTGTGTGTCTTCAGGACATTCAGTTTCCAGTATAGTTTATCCAGATTATTTTTATAAGTATTAAAATAATGTTTAATACACAAAACTAACCTTGGAATTAATAACACTCTTTGTAAATCTGGTTTGTAAAATTTCAGCATTTTTGTTCATTTCCCATATACATGAAAATGCAAACCTGAAAAAAAGAATCAACAGAAGTTAAAAACATGGGAAAAACATCTGGATTTACTTGGACAAGCTCTAAATATGGATTAGGTGCAAATACCTGTCCACGTTAGATCTCAAGGAGCATAAATTGGAGCTAAGTAACTCTGGAACCATATCAATTCTCTGTAAGACAAGAGAGTAAAAAAAAAAAAAAAAAAAATATTTAGCAATACATAGTTTTATCTAAAATTAGAATTTTTTTCACTCTCAAACCATTAAAATAGGACATTAAAATATTTAAGATAAAAAAATATTAGTTCTAAGCTTTTATTGAATGACTTCCAGGTGTCATTAATCTCATCATGAAAAACAGTTTTTCGAGTTCATGAAAGAAAAGGAAAAAGAAAAAAGCTTATTGTTTCTGAGTGGGAATTAACAGGTGTTTGTTTTTGTTACAGTTCTTTCTACAGTAGGTACTATTGAAAATAAATGGTAGCCTATGAGAAATATACTTCTCCAGAGCCAAAATCGCTCTCTTAATCCTCCTGCCTGGGACATATAGCACGTGCAACACACAACTAAATTGCTGTATTTCTTACTGTGATTCAGAGAGGACCTTTAGAATCAAGGGTTCTGCTGAAGCACTCCTGATACAATGTGTGTTATCCAAAGTAAGTGCAAACTAAAGGCCTCAATTGTTTTCAGCTTGCAGATAATGAGATGTTTCCATCTCCTCCAAATAAAATGTTAGCAACAAAAGCAACAATATCCCACCTAAACAAGAAAGCTCTATGAAAAGAACATTTACTTTTTCACATAGATACACAGTTGTCCCTCTTTTTGCTGACTCTTGATCCAAAGCATTTCCCGGTCGAATAAAATGGCTGACGTCTGCAATATGTACACCAACCTATAAAAGAAATAAAACATGATTTTCAGTACATCATAGTTATGCATTTTATGGACCAAAGCAGCGGTTCTTGAACTATCTTAAGCAGAGATCCACAATATAAAATACCATCTCTCCTGACAATCCCATTTCCCTGCAGCAACTGCTGCGGTTGGTTATATGAACAAGTAATACTAATTTCACTTTAAAGTGATGTTTACAGTAGATACAAAATAAGGGTGTGTACCGTATATTCCGGCGTACAAGACGACCTCTGAAGTTAAAAAACATCCCCCAAAAATCGGGGGTCGTCTTGTACGCCGGATGCCCCGCCGCCGGAGCCCCTCCGCGGCTTTAAAAGCCTCGGGGGAAGGCGGCGGCGGGGGCTTCCCCCGGACGGTTTAATTT